TGTTACCAAAATTTTATTTTCAAATATTTATTCCTAAAGAATAATACGAAAAAGATTTTCATCCTAACATAAATACTCTTTTTTTAAATTTCTTCACAATATGGAACAATTAAATAAACCTAAAATTCGAAACGCAACTTTTGAAATCAACCAAACTGCTGATGAGCTCCGAAATCTTCTTTTATCGTTTTCAGACCAACAACCCGTAACTTAAAACTTTAAAATCCTACTGCGTTTACACTCTTCAGGAATCAGTAATAGTATATTTCCATAATCATCATAAACCATCTCATTTTCACTTTTATATCTTTTTTAAACTTCGCTTTGAGCCCTACCGCTCCTAGCCTTTACTTTTGCCCCGAGCCCTTCCGCTCTTACGCCGCTACTTTTGCCCCGAGCCCTTCCGCTCTTAGGCGTATCTTCAGCTTCGAGTCCTAACGCTCGTAGTCTTTACTTTGTCTACCCCTCTTAATCTTTATTCTCATAGAGCGGCAGACGACTCTTAAAATAAGCCTTCGGTCGATTCATTCTTTTTTCTTTTTCCACTTAAGGAGCGGCTGACGACTCCTTAAAGAAAGCCTCGTCGTCATTTGAAAACACCCTTCTAGAAGTGGTAGTCCTAGAATATGACTCCACTCTTATCAGAATGCAGATGACAGCATGTAGAGGAGGAATACCTGGTTGTTTGTTGAGGCATGTATGTGTGAAGCTGTGTTTTCCTGGTTACTTCTTGGACAGTCTTCCAAAATTTTCTGAGGTCATGGGGATAATGTAGTGTGAAACTACGGACCCATATTACTTTCATTTCTCATCATATGTTTTCTAGTAAACACCCTTACTTTTCCCGATTCCTGAAAGAGTTCCGGCTAATATTAAAATATAACTAGACAACTAGTTACTCAAATTTACTACTGTAAGCTATTTCTCACACTTTTATCAATATCATCCAAATGTTTTCCTAAATTAATGATCGCATACTTTAATTTAATTTTAAAACTTTTTTTTCGGTTCCTCCGTCTCTTATGAGCCCATCATAACCTTCCTTATTATTTTCTTTTACTTAAAAGTACATAACATGTGACGAAGTCCTCTAAGTCAACTTTACAACACACGTCCTTCCTTTACTTACACTTACTTTTACACTTACCTAATCCCTTCTCTACCACTATTCTTACTTTATTCTTTTTCCATTATCTTTTCTCTTTACCGTTATACTTCAAAAAAATCCTGAATGATTTTTTTTTTCCTCCGGCCCCCCGGGTATTGTGGCGGTGTGACCTCCTTACACCGTCATCTCACCTCTTTGTATCGCCTCTCTCCTCTTGTATCTTATCTTTTTTTTTATTTTACTTGTATTTAAATTTTTTAAATTTGAATTGTTCCATCTTCCTTCACTTTCTCATTTTGTTTTCGTACCACGGTCACTCCCAGCTCGACCGCCACAACAGTCTCAGCTGTTAATAAGCTAATCATGTGTAATAATTTATAAGTCTACAGCCTTTATGTACCTATTTCTTTAATTAAGTTTCTTGGCACATTTAGGGGTAAGTGCCTTTATAATAAAGTGTAGGGAGTGTTTTATATTGTTAACCTGTTTTTTTACATTTACCTTTATATTGTTACAGCCTTTCTTTAAACTTTACTTCTTTAATAAATTTTGTGAACCGGAAGTTTCCCATTTCTTTGCTGTGAACCTGTTCACGGCTAGTTAGGGTTACAACCCTTTCACCATAACACAAAAGCTTTAGCTACTTACTTTGGGATCAGAGCAACATATGTCTATTATTTATTTATTTAATTCTATGGATTAATATTGTCGACAGAGTTACAAGACCAATTTTGTAACTCTGTTATGGGAGGACGTGTTATTTTTCCTGTATCCAATGGAGCAATAAACATTTTTGACTTAACTTCACTTATACCATTCTTCCATGACGGGTGCAATTTATAAAGAAAGCGAAAGCGGATACGCAAACTTTGAAGGTCTTTCGTTTCTTTCTTTGAAGGTCCGAAATATGTGTCCGCAAGTGTATTACAGTGTAATAGCATTGCAAATGGTCAAATTCATACAAAACCTTTTGTATGAAAACAACAAAAAGCTTACCCAAATCGAATCAACCGCGTCAGACTAGTGCAATTCAAACAGTGTTAAATTAATTTTCATAAATGATTACGGCTTGATCTTTCTGCCATAACAAGGACTCTACCACATATATAAATAAAGGATAAAACTATATGTAGTTTAATCACTGAATGAGCATTCATAACGGAAAGAATACAAAAGAAGAAATAACCGGAAAATGCACATTACGAATTGCACCTGCATCACGTTCGTAGCGAAATTTACGCTGGGTTAATTGATTGGTTCAGAAGGTTTGAGAACTTCAAATATAAATTCAATTAAACTGAATTAAACTCATTTTATTGCACCACATGAAGTCTCTCAAGATCTTAATAACATTTTAGACCTTATTATATGATACCCTGTAACGAAATCGGCACAGTAAAGGGCAGACAGTCCTAAAACAATCAAACAATTGTAAAACTTAAACATGCTAACAATATTATTTACTTTATTTCTATGGACATACGTTTTAAATTGGCATACTTTTTAAATTTTGTCATTGCAAAATTCCTTCAGGCTGTTGTAGCATTTTGTATTTGAAATTTCTGAAGTATAGGAATGAAACTATTTTTCCGGATTTAAATCGCGTATATTTGTTTTTTCAAACAAACCGACGTTTCGGGCCCTTTACAGGTCCGAGCATGTCATGGATAAACCTACACATTCAATGAAGTTTGACAAACCCCAGGTCCTTGCAAAAGAAGTCCGTTATCTGCCCAGGATGCTGCGAGAGGCCATTGAAATTAAAAAACATCCTAATTTCAACAGGGAAGATGGTTTCTCCGTACCACCAGTTTGGGATCCAGTATTTCCTCTAATGAAAAATCCCAAACAGACATAAGACTGCAGTACTAATTAATATGTTTTAATTTATTCTAATTTCTATTAATAATTAATAATAAATTAAAGTTAATAAAAAATTCATTCAATAAAATAAATTGTAAAACTTAATGTAGCGTAAATTGGAATGTTTTCTTTGTAAAATTAAAAATAAGGTATTTAATTAATAACTATTGTAACTATATTGAAAAAATAGGGTGGTTTGCATCAATATTAGACATAACTGGTTGAAGACTGTACCACCTCAGTCAACCGTGACCATGGGACCTGTAAAGGGCCCGAAACGTCGGTTTGTTTGAAAAAACAAATATACGCGATTTAAATCCGGAAAAATAGTTTCATTCCTATGTATAACAATCGCGAAAACCTAAGAACTCGATATTTCTGAAGTAGTTTATTCAATATCATAATTTTATAAAAAAAAATTATCAATCTAATGAAAAACAATTATTGTAATGGTAATTATACTATTTTTTCAGATATCAATCGTGAATATTTGTTTTTCTATACAAACCAGCGACTTGGGCCCTAAAAAGGTCCCATAATCCCCGCTTAATTACAGGTCAATCAGCGTGACACATGGAAAGGGCCCGAAATGTTGGTTTGTATGAAAAAACAAATATACGCGTTGAGAAAAGAAAAAAATAGCTTCATTAATGTGCGGACAACGGCACACCAGACTACATATTTTTGTTCGAAAATCGCCTCCAGGGTGTCCAATATGTAGCTTGATGTGCTGGCGTGTGTTCATCAATCGCAAAAAACTAAGAACTCACAATAAATTTATAAATTAAAAGGAAACTTAAAAAGTTTCCTTTTCATTACGTAATCTCAATTAATTTAAATTTAGGTTCAGTAAAAGTCGTTCAGTACAATGAACAGATTAAAATAACGTAGTTTTTAATAACATCATCAGTAACAATGCAATAGAACACATACCTGATTTTGTAGTTGCTTATGTTTCCGTCGGAGGTCACGACTCACTTGCGCGAGTTTCTCCACTTGATTGGTCAACTGCGAAGATTCCAAAATTGCCATTATTTATTATTCTACAATAACATTCACTTCAACAAATTTAAATGTCTAATGTAAAGGCTGTATATTTCACCAATATATTCCACTACCTTAATACGTGTTTCTTTAATTGTAAAAAAACTAAAGTATACCACTGTATTTTAAACTACAGTATACTACTTTCACTGTTTAAATAGGCTAAATGATAAAATTATAATGTAATCTAAATGTCAACTATAACTTTATTGTATGGTAATAGAGTTCCTAATTGAATTTTGATAATAAAATCAATGAACATATATAATATATACGTATATATAGTTCCGAGAGTTTTATAACGAAAATTCTCACAAAAAGCACGTGATCGTATTGAGATATGTATAAATGTAGACTGATAAATAGTACATTCGAACTTATCGATAAAATATAAATCACCTATAGATAAGTATTTTGTGATATAAATAGTGAATGTTGTTTTTTATTTTGATGTGCTTTTTCTTTGCTGTTGGATATTATTATTGAACGAGGGTTATTTTTAACTGACTTCAAAAAAGGTGGAGGTTCTCAATTCGACTGTATGTTTTTGTTTTTTTTTTGTATGTATGTTACACGGTAACTCCGGTATTTGTTAACCGATTTTCATGATTATTTTTTGGTTGGAAAGAGGGTGCCTTCATAAATGTCCCATTTAATTTTGAAGAAAATCATCTTCCTCTAAGGGTGGCTGATCACGCATGAAGATTCATTTTCATATATAGTGTCTAAATTTTATTATTAGGAGCAATTAACTTAATGGGTGATTTTGCTATTCTCCAATTTAAGGCGTTTTTCTCTCAATATACTTTGTTATAGTGAGAACCGATTTTTATTATCTCCTGTGTGTAAATCAATAAAAATTAAGAAAAACTTGATGGACAGATAATAATAGGTAGCATCATTTAAAATGCTACCTGTTATTATCATTGTAATGTGAGATCTCAATTCAGTTAACCCATGACCATGGAGCCTGTATTTTTTTTTTTAATAAAGTGTAAGTGCCTCCGTATCTGACCTCCGTATCACCTGATGGAATGTGACGATGAGGTCGACAATGGAGCATGCACACTTAAATAATGCCTATTCACTCTTGTCTTGAAAAGGCCCAAGTTATAACGTTCAGGGAACAAGTCTGAAGGCAGGGAATTCCACTCCATAGCCGTTCGCCATATAAATGTTGATGCGTAACGCTTCGTGCGAATCTTTGGAATACCCACAACATGAGGGTAGAACCCAAGCCTACGATTAGTCCCCCGGTGACGGAAAAAGGAAGGCGGAACAAAATCGTGTAATTCCATCTCATACTCTCCGTGATATATCATGTAAAATACAGATAAGCAGGCAACTTTATGGCGGTGTGTTCAAGGCTCTGCAGCTTCGCCTCCGCTAATTCCGAGTCACCTATAAGCCTCGTTGCACGGTTATAATAGCGGGAAACTAAACAGATCCCATACCGTGGTAAGAAACTTGTAATTAATGACAATCAGTATTCGTAGATGCCTTCGATTACCTGTGGTTCTAGTGAAAAGATTACAAGTAAAAAAAGAGAACTTTACAAGAAGACTCGATAAACAGTTAAAGCTTAATATAGTATTAAGAGTTAAGTATTTTCGTCGCGTTTCCTTGTAAAGTTGGCTTTTTTTTCTTGTACCTCTTTTCACTAGAGACATAGACTAGTACGTATGAACATGTTGTATGGGATGTTGATTTTATTTGAAAAATAAACTGGATTATTCGAGGTAATAGTTATTCCTCACCCGATACTGAAACATGAGATACAAACTTGACTTTCCATTGTAAGTTCTGTGAATTTGCATTCATGTAATACAAAACGCGTCTTTACACACACAGTTTAACGATGTTTTGTAAACGTCAACCGTTGAAGGGTAAGGGTACTGGTGAAATTACAGGCACATGAGACTTGTAACTTATGTCACAGCGGCGCAGTGGCAGTGTCCCTCAGATATTTGCGATTTAAAGGTCTGAGTGGCATTGCAACTGCTATGAACAGGCGTGTCGCTTAACAGCAGGCGCACGTTTTGTTCGTCCCGTCACCTGGTATCATAAAAAATAATAATCTTCAATCAGTACATTTCTGACATACCTACATGTTTCTCTTCCTTCGCCACATAAGTCGCCATATACCCTCGTTCATTCTTGGTACCCTTAGCCTGGCCTTTTTTGAGGATATACTTAATCTGGTTCAGTAACGTATGTAAAGATTGACCTTACACGTTTCAATTCCCATTCGGTTCATAAATTTATGACGGTACTCAAATTACATTCATGTTTTACAAACGACGCAACCATTGAAGCATTTCCTTTTCTATCCTAGTCAATATGTCATCTTTCACGCCAGCAGTCGCACTACCTCGTTTTGACCTATTTTTACTTACAAATAACTTCTATACAATTAGTCCCTCTCGGCTCGTTTTAACCAGCGCCTAAGGGAACTTAGGCATATACTGGAGTCAGCGTCTTTTCACTGCTATGACAAAAATGTTTTTATTTTTCCTTTTCTATTTAATCTACGTGGTGCGCACTATAAGTTTCCGGAATGAATAAGAAAAAAATACTATAAATGGTCAGAAATGAATTTATTGTTTCTCAAAATATTCTCCGTTAGCGTTAATGTACTTTTTCATACGAATAAACCAATTTTGAAAACATTTATGCCACTCCTCCGTGAAAATCTCTGAAACATATTTTTCATACTCTTCGACAGCCTTTTCAGTTGATGAAAATCGTTGACCGCGTGATTCTTCATTTTTGGAAATAAATAAAAGTCACAAGGTGCCAGGTCGGGACTGTACGCGGGATGGCTCATAAGGTCAACGTTGTTCACCTTTAAAAATTCATTTGTTTGTCTGACCGTGTGAGAACTGGCATTATCGTGGTGGATGATAGCCACGTGTCCAGTTTTATTAAAAAAAGAAGCAATCATCCGGTTAGGCACTTTGCACGCGCGCCACTTTGGCTGGTTTCGGCTCATCTCGAAAGACCCATACGCCCAATTGCTGCTTTGTTTTGGGATCGTAACTATAAATCCATGTTTCGTAACCTGTTACTATGTCCCACACCAAATTTGACGCCCTTTTGTTGAATCTGGTAAGCATGGCATTGCAACCAAATGACGCGATCCGTTTTTTGAGCCTCAGTCAAATTGTGTGGGATCCATCGAGAGCACAGCTTTTTCACACCCAAATGTTAATAATAATAACTCTTTATTGCACAAAGAAAAGATACATGAAACACAAGTTATAAAGGACATATACAAAGGTGAGCTTATCTCTAGAAGAGATCTGTTAGTGTAGTATTGATTGTATTTGACTCATGCCTATGCCTAAAGATGCCCGAATCTCATGGCATGTCACATGCCTGTCTGTTTTTATCATACGGCGCACAGCATCGATGTTTTTGTTGTTAACAGTAGTTAGTGGACGGGCGACCATCACGAAATTCGTCACTGAGATTCACACGACCGCGTTTGAATTCTGCAATCCAGCCATAAATAGTCGTCTTGCATGGTGCTTCATCACCAAAAGCAGTTTGAAGCCGAGCAATACTAACAGATTTGTTGAATAACATGTTTGACGATCTCGATAGCTTAGCGGTTTGCATTGTGGACACTGAATGCCCGGGTTCGATTCACAATAGGACCAATTTAGGAAATTAACTTTTCTAAGTTGGTTCTGATTTGGGTGTTCTGGGAAGTGCCCCAAAATCCCGTTGCTCTGGTACTCATAGTACAGGGAATTCCCTTGTTTGAGACCAGGCAATTGGTGTGGTTGTCTAGCACGTAGATATATAGCACATAGATTAGTATAGATAGATAATCTATTTTTGAATTGAAAACCTTGTTTTTTACTTTCTGGCTGTTGGTTTATGCCTACGTAACGAGGCGCTGCCTGATTGAACCATCACATAATAAATCTAATTCAAAAGGTTTTGTCCGCGTTAATATTAAAGTAAGAGGAAATTGCTCAAGACACGCGCGCTATTTTGCTGTTCAATTTGTCAAAAAGATGGAAAAAATGTTATTACTTTTTTATTATAAGGAGAAACGTGCACAAAAGACCTTTTCAGTATAGAGACGTAGGGTCAAATATGATAATTTGAAAACGTTATAATAAGAAACTAAGTTATATAATTTCATCATACTTGCTTGACAGTAGTATAACGTTAAGGCAAAATTAGGCTGTATTTTTATTATACGGCCCTAGAGCGTAACGGTTTTGTTTTTATTTCTCAGCCATGACCGCGGACCAACTGCCGGCTCAGCCATTGCGCCGCCACCTTGTACCGCGAGCGCAAACAATAGTGGACTTTTGAGTTTATTTATTAAAACTAATATAAATACAATCGTCCTTATTTCATTTATCATTTTTATAAGGTACTCTTACGACATACGTAAATCCAAAAGTAAACAAAAAAATCATACATCTAGTAAAAGCAATAAGTTTTATGTGAAATAAATATAAAAAGTTTTCGAGATACTTAAAATATAAATATGGATAAACTACCTATGACTTACCTATAACTTTTATAGTCAAGTTTTTTTTAACTTAATCGCAAGTGTGATGGAACACGTATGCCACACGAGCGGAACGGCAATTACAAATATTTGGGCCAATTAAAACCTTCGCCTTCGGTACGAGTTTTCAGTCTGTCCCTCTAGAAAAACGCAAAATCGGCTTGAGCCGGTCAGAACAGGCTTTATGTCCATGTAATTAAAGTGAAAAAGTACCGCCGCCAGGAACGCCGACGTGAAGCACACGTCTTCTTGCATAGATAGTGTGATTCTGTGTCCATAAGTGTGGTGACTGTATTCGCAATTGTCTACTTATCGCCCTTGTGACACAATGTAGTAATATCAGTTATATTTTCGGGACTTATAAAACGTGTTTCCAAGTAATCTTGTTGTCAATTGTCTTTTCTTGATTGATTAGATGGATTGATATTTC